CCAGTGTTTCTGATAGCCAAATATAGTCTATTCTTGTTGCTGTTTCTTGACTTGACCATGTGTATGCTTCTTTTGTCGGATGGAGATTCCTGTATGAATCTGCAAAGTTTTGTCTTCTGAGCCAGCTAAATATTGGCAGTTTTTTGTAATTTGATGTTTGTGAATATAGTCTGTCTAGTATGTTATCTACTGTCTACTTTTTTTAATTTACTATATCTTTATTTTTATAATTACAATATATATAGTATATATTATATATACTAAATTACTAACTAATTTATTTCTGTTTTTTATTTAGTTTATAATATATAAAAAAAAGACTGTGAAATGTAATAACTTAGCAAAATTGTTAGGTTATCAACTCTCCAAATAGTAAGTTAAGTATTCAAATCTCATCTATAATAAAAATTTAAATAATCACTTATATAATATTTATATTACAACAACTGTTACTAATAATTAAATTAGGATACCTATAATAATATTTATATTTCTCATCATTAATATTTAAAAAAAAAAAATATTTATACTAATATAACTGCTAAGTCATAAGATATCTGTATAACTAATTATACAGAAAAATGCAAACTGACAAATTAGGCAATGTAAACACTAGATAAGTTCTTATAATTATGTAACTCTATTAAAATTAGATAATATAAAATCTATTTGAAAAAATCTGAATAAAGAGATAACCAGATCTTCAATGATCCTATTATAAAGACTAGTTTGAGAAAACAGATACCTAGATTGTAATACCTAATCATAATACCCAAACAAACAAGAACCTTTGAGTTGGAAGTTTCAAAGATACTACTAACCAGGTTACCAAACCAAACTGAAGAAAAAAGATATTAAGCTGACCTGATATATCAATAGACTAATCATAATCTTATATAAACTATCTGAATTGAAAGTCTGAACAAAAGACAAAACAAAAAACAAGAATATACTAAAGTATTGAAATTATGCTGTGAAGTAAATGTTGGAATCTATGTGAACTCTACAAGAACATAATAATTAAATGATATAACTCTGAATGCAAGTATTGGTTTTATTATAACAATACCTAGATCAACTGTAAAAATAGGTACAGAAGACTGAGAAGTTTACCTCAAGGATAAAATAGTCCTATAATGGTTCATAGAATCACATTACCAAAAGTCATTAATAAAAATCAAAAGACCAAAAAGGTCACCTTAACACCAAAAAAATAAAATAAAAATAAAAAAAAGATTGTTTTTACAATACAATAAATCAAACATTATTAACAATTCTATAAATCGGTTCATATGCCTATATGCTAATTAAATATTACTTTAACGTAGTAATATAGAGTTGCTCTTGTATATCATGACCTGGTCAAGTCACGGGTAAATCACGAGTAATTTATTAGTTAGTTAACAATCAACAATAAGGAATCGAGTTTTACTAGAGGTTTTTACTTTTCTAAGAGCTATTATCAGAGCTTTGAAGAAATCTTGGTCGAAAATTCATTATTTACGATTCGGATTTTATATCGGTTGCTAAACCTTCCATTTTTATAATCATTTTTCACTTATTGTGCACGTCTTCAATAAACTATTGGACTTACTATAACATATTATTTTATTCAATATGCCCTGCTTAGTCGCTAAATCCTTAATTTGAAAATAAAAATAACGAAATTTTAATAATTTATAGCATTGATTTAACAAATTTGATTGGTTATTGATTGAGAATGGATATCTATTTAAATTTTGGTTGTATCCCAAATGAAGTAGAAATCCCGATTTCCAAACCCAAACTATGTAGTAATGTCATAATTCAAAAAAAGGCTTGGATCGCAGCCCTATATATTAGCCAGAATATGTACTTCCACCAGAAGGACCATGACTACCAACTGAAGGCGGATGACTTCCAGCGACCGTGTGTGAACTAGTCGGGGTTCCCATCCCCGGAGCGCCAGGAGCACCCGCACCAGTGGGTTGGTTGTAACCGTACGGAAAGTATTGACCGTATGCGTCATATCCGTTATAAGAATATTGCTCCCAATTAGCAGTAGGATGTTGTTGTTGCCCTGCGACTACTGCTGCTGCTGCTGCACCATCAAGAGATGCTAAAGATGGCGGTGGCGCAGACATGCCAGGTGGAAGATCATATCCACTTTCACTTACGGGTGTGGCATAAGGGTGTGCAGTATGATTACTATAATATCCGTATGGATAATTATAAGCCGTACTTGGTACACCATATGTATGGTAGGAAGCTGTGGCTTGCTCTGGTGCCCTATCTTTTCCCCATGAACACTGAATGTGAAGATGAAAATCTCAATAAATTTTATTATAAAAGAAACATCAATTCACTTAAATTAGTAAAAAGTTACTTTAATAATTCGCCCGTTGATACTCGTATTTTGCAAATTTACGATTGCATTCGCAGCATTCTCATGGGAGTCTAGTCTAAAGGCGGAAAGAAGATCAATACATCGAATGAAACAAAAACATTCCTTTAAACTTACTTCACAAAAGCAAAACCACGATCCGCTTGCATGCGAACTTCGATGATATATCCGAAAGGCTGGAAATATGGTAGCAAATGCTCCTCTGTTGTGGGTGATAAATATATCAATACAATTCAATTAATACGATTGAAGCATCTATTAAGAAGCTTTTATACAATTGAACACATACGTGTAGTATAAGGTGGCAAATTGCCAACATATACTGTACTATTATAGTGTGGTGTTTGTGCAACAACGATTTCGTAGGATAATTGAGGTGTTTGTGTGGAGCTTCCTAAAATTATAATTCCGAAATATTAGCAAATATTATAGCACGAAATTTGAGCGAAATTTACCCCTTCTACCTTGTCGATCTGATGTGCTTCCAGGACCCGGTTGTCCTTTTTGATTGGCCCAATTGCACCGGATAGCACGACTTCCAAGCCATTCCCCTATACAAAGTTATTTGTAAAAAAAAATTTACACTTCACCTTTAACTGCGAACCATGCTTGATTAACGTTGCGCCTTCAACACTCACCATTCATTGTTGCGATGGCTTGTTCCGCATCCTAAATGATTATTACAATAATAACAGCATATTGCAATAATTAACAAATCGAAAACAAAAACATTGTATATCTTTCAAGGCAATGATATTTGTCATCAACATGTCAAAACCTACTGTCTTGTCACGGAAAGCAACGAATCCGTATCCTCGAGATTTTCCAGAATTAACATCCCACATAACGCGAGCATCTCTATTGTGTGATCCATTTTCAAATAGTTAAATTTTATAATATCGCAGTTAGTAAACCAATATGACTTGCGTAATATGAAAACTTACGACATGCTCCCAAACGCACTAAATGCTTTAGCAAGTACTTCATCATTAACTTCTGGACTTAAATCTCCAACAAAGATATGGTAATGATCTAGAATTAACGAAGCCAAGGGTAATAAATGCAGTGATGCTTATAAGCTTGACATGATCTAGTTGGAAATTGAATAGAAATGCGTACTTGATGTATCCTCTTTATGACCTTGTTGTCCCTGAAAAGCCCAATTCACTTTAATTTCCTGTCAGGATTAGCGAAAAAAAACGTTCAATAATAAAGCATGATGAAGATCTAATCTTATTACAGGTGGATCAATTACCATGTTGTATATTTTTCTTCCATTAAGTGTTTGAAGAGCTTGTTCAGCTGAACGATGGTCGTTGAATTCCACGAAGCCGTAATTCAGTCCACCATGTTGATACTAGCGTTAATATAGTTAATTTATTATCAAAAAAAAGAAAAAAAAAATAGAGATTTCTATAAGTGATCAAATTCAATGGTAGACAGAAAAATACACAAGGCATCCATATATCTAAAGGTTTAAGAGATCAGCCTACGAGCCAACTCGGTAACTTTTGTCTTGACAATACACTGTCGCCCCACACAAAAACACTAGCTGCAAAAAAGTTATATATAACTGGTTGATCAACAAAGTTAGGCAATTTTTGCAAAAGATAAAAAAAAATAATAATTATAATAATTATAATAACAATAAATAAAAAAATAAAAAATAAAATAAAAAATAAAATAAAATATAAAATAAAAATATAGAATAAAAAATAAAATAAATTGAAATAAAAAAGGCCGCCACAAAAAAAATAATAATAAATAAAATAAACTTTATGGAAGAGAATAACCCATAAAACCACAAGGAGAAGTAAATAAATAAACAAAATATAAAATATTGAGGGAAGATAAAGGATTCCAACCTTTGAGCTGCGTCATATATGTATGGAACGCAACTCGAGTGTCCAGCAAGGCCAGCCATTGCGGGGTGACTCCACATTAGACCTCGTCAAACAGTGCCTCGTTTCAAGAAAAAAGTAATACTGCAAATCATCACACCACTGAAGGTGGCAAGTCCAAGCTTCAACCTAACCCCTAAACCCTCACAATCGTTATTGGCTTGTCCTGATCTTAAGGTCAACTCACATTTTTATCAGGAATGATTTTCGTATTGTTCACGGATCCTGCTACTCCAAAGATCTCATGAAGCATGCTGTCCGTTACCCTGGGATCGAGATTACCAACATAAAGACTCTTACAACCATCATCCGTTGCCATTTTCGCTAGAATGTTAGCCGTTATGGTGGTAATTTTTATTAAAAAAAAAGGTTGAAATTAGTTTTAGATTATTGAAGAACGTAAATTATTTATATTAATAAGAAAAAAAAAAAGAAGGCAACAATTTTATGTTACGGAAATTGTTTTGATTGGTCCTCTATTTTAAAATTATGGGGTTAATATTGAGCTACACAAAATTTGGTAATTTAATGCATTGTGGCTTAGCAATATTTATTTTTTTTAGTGTTGTCGAGACATGAACCTTTATTACAAGTTATAGACGCATTATTTTCTTGAACATTTTGTTTTTTTTTTTACTAAAAAAAAACTTATATATACGTATAATTATGTATTATGTATCTTATTTCTGGCTTAGATTTGAATTTTGTTATAGAAAGTGCGGTCAGCTCTCTTTAAACCGAACCTGGATAAACCAAACACTTTAATAAACACTGCGAAAACTGACACAAAGCTTTAGGACACTTAATAACTTTTATTAATAAAGACAGTAAATTTTTAAATCGAGCTTTTTAAAAATTTTTACATATAAACCCGAAAGGTTCGGTTTAAGCTAGAGTTCCAATCCGGATAAATCCATCATCCATTTATCCATATCTGAACTTATCCGGATATCCATTCACTATTGATATCCGGATAATCTAACAAATATTCAGATAATTATCCGGATATCAATAGTGATAGTAAAACGGATATCCGGACAAATTCAAATCTGGATATCCAATAGATAAATGGATAAACGGATAATGGATAGGAACTCTGGTTTAAGCAAAGTTGACTATATGGAGTGTCGTCAACTAAAAGGGCCCATTTTTACATTTTTTAAAAAAAAAGATTTTTTATTAGATACATGTATATTTTGACATGATTGACATTTTTAATTATAAACGAAAGTCAATTTGCATAATGAAAAATAGAGATAATGTAGAAGAAAAATTACACAAGGCCAAGCACATCACTGTTACTGTTAACCAATCAAAATCATGAAATTTGGTTAATCCGGATCAGTTCGAAAAATGAGATATATGTAAAAATGGGACCTTTTAATCCATATTATACTTTCAGTCTAATTTTGATATATAGGTCATTTTATTATTTTTGATTCATTATATAGGCTGTATTGTCACTTCTGATACATTATATTTTATAAAATAAATTAAAAAGCATATTAATAAAATTTTTTTTTTAATTCTTTGGCAGTTTTGTCAATCATCTTTATTAAGAGTCTTATACAGTATACATGATTTTATACAAAGTTGGTTTAAATTCTGGCTTGACATCTTCTGACTGTTTTTATAAGTGTTCAGAAGTAGTCTGTCATATTGGTCAGAAATTAATTTGGTCAGAAGATTATACCAAATTAGTTATTAAAGTTATAAAAGAATGATCTTATTTTTCTTTCTATATAATCAACAACTAAACCTAACTATGAACTTTGTATTTTTTTTTTTTTCTTTTTTCCTCTTTTTTATAGTTTAACTTTGATTCTTCTTTATATCTCCTTCATGTATTTCTTTTATCAGATTGCTAACTGTACAATTTCTTAAACTGTTTTCTTTTTTTTTTTTATCTGAAAAGTTAATTTTATTTGTTTTTTTCTAATTAGTAATTATTTTACAGTGAAAAAGGGGTGTGATAACCTAATGAAGTGAAAAGGTTGTCAACCTCCAAGTGGTAGGTCTAGAGTTCAAATCCTAGTAACAGTAAAAATTTACAATTCTTTCTGTATTATAGTTAATTGTTTTCTGTGATTGGTTGAAATAAGATATCTGTAACTTATGTCATATTAGCATGACTGGAAGGTCTAGGTATTCATGCAATATTGTATGAAGAAACACAAACTGATACCAGATAGTATGAACCCAAAATAAGTTCTTAGATCATATAAATCATAGGAATCAAGTAGAAAGATGAAAACCTATTTAGAAAACCTGAGTAGAGAGATAACTCAAATCTTCGATAATGTTACTATAAAGACTAGACCTATGAAATGAAGTTAGAACTTGTAAAACTAGGCAAAGAGTCAGCCTTTGAGAAGAGGCTGAATGAAAACAACTAGGCTGTCAGAGTCTATTCTGAAGAAAAAGGTTACATGCTGGCAAACATGTAAACCAGAAGTATATGATTACAATCTGCCTTTTCAGCTTATCTGATTTGGGAACTTGATGGAACTTGAATTGAATACTAAAGTAGTAAAGATATATTATAAAGTTAGTACTGAGATTGAGATAAACTTTATAAACTATAGTGTTTTAATGATACACCCTGATCATTAGTGTTGGTCTCAGTTATAACAATACTGGGTCAGCTGTAAGAATGTGATACAAAAGATTTTAGAAGGTTTAATATAAGGTCAAAGGTTCCTCATATAAGTGAACTACTTTAAAGATTTGTTTTAAAGATATTGAATATAAGAATTGTGTGCTTTGTTTAAATTGTATATACAAGATTATCAAGATGGCATTTTGGTAAAATTTAAAAGATTCAGGTTTTTTAAAAAAATTAGAGGTTATTATATAAGAATATTATACAATACAATAAAATAAATTAGTATAATTAAATATAATTATAATATATATTATAGAAAATTTATTAATACACTTTAATTATAAATATATTTTAATTATAGGGTGTGGTAACTTAGTGAAGTGGATAAGTTGTTATATCTCTAAGTAGTAGGTTGTGAGTTCAAAACTTACTAATTATGAAATTTGAATAATCATCTATATAATATATAGATGGTATTACAGCGATGATATTCTGTCAATTAGCTGAGATAGGATACCTGTAACTATAGTTGCATCAGCATAACTAGCAGGTCTGAGGCATCCGTGTAACCTGTTATACAGAGGAATGCAAACTAGTACCAGGCAATAAAATCTAAAATAAGTTCTCAGATTATATAAATCCATAAAACTAAAAAGCCAAAGCCTACTTGGAAATTTTGAACAAAAAGGTAATATGGAGTTTTGACAGTACTACTATAAAGACTAGACCTAGAAAATGAATACTAATGTGAAGGATTCAGACAGACAAGAACCTCAGATAATAGGTACTACCAACCAGGCCACTAGATTTCAGATTAAAGAAAAAGAATATTGGGCTAGTCTCAATATATCAAGGACAAGTCACAGTTCTTTCAGGCTATCTAGATTGAAAGTCTGAATTCAAAACAGAGGTATACTAAAAGTATTAAGAATATGCTGTAAAGCCAGTACTAGGGTCTGAGTGAACACTGTAAAAGTAGTTTATATTGTAATATGGTTGCTTAACCTAACTAGATTCTAAATATTTGTTTAATAAATATGTTGTCACCAGTTAAATCAAGCAAGAATATTACTTGACTTAACATGAATGAGTGGTTAAGAAATGTGTTAAAAAAAAAATATAAGTTGTATTCCTAAAACTAAAATAAAAATAACTAAAATAACTAAGAAATAAACTAAAACAATAAAAGTATTTCAAATATAAAACAGAAATATCACAGA